GCTATCTGGATTGGGAGTCTGGGTTCAAAGCAGAAGTATACTAAAAGTACTAGAGATATGCTATGAAGTCAGTACTGAGGTCTGGGTAAACTCTATAAGGATAACTCATGTTAGTGTTCTAAAAGTGAGTAGATAGTTAACAACAGGGGACCCTCTGCGCCTTACTGACAGGTGATATACTCTGAAATATGTAATGGCCTAGAAACTAGTACAAAAAGGGTAGATACCATACTGCTCAGACAGTATACCGGATAGGTATATACAGGAGGTTAACTTGGGGATTTCAATATGACAGAGCAGATAATCAGAGAGTTTAAATAGATAATCTCCTAGTAGGTTATAGGTACGGCATCTAGTATAGAACCTTAGAGCAGACTACTTAAATAGGCAACCAAAAGTTGCACGTATGACTAGCTGTACTCTCATCTCTGTAAAAATAGTTGTTATCATCACAAGTATGACCTTAGCAAAAAAAAGAAAAAAAAAACAATATAATAATATTAAAATATTATTGAATATTAATAAATTATTATAATAAAAAGATATTTTTTTAATATCATTAAATATCAACTAATAATATAATTATAAACATTAAATTATTCTTAAAATTTTAAAAAGATTTAGTAATATTTTTTAAATATACAAAAATCTATAAATTATCATTTAAAATAACAAAAAAAATTTATTAGCAAGCCAATAATATATCTTTCTATAATTTATCTAATTTTCAAGATATTAATAAATATCTTTTTTATTATTTTTAGATAAAATTTTGTTATTTTTTACTGTTTTTTATCTGAAATATAACAAATTTTTTAACTAACTTTATTATATTACTTATTTTTATTTTCTTCTAATCTTATAATAGCTGGCTAGCATATTATGTTGTTTTTGTATATATCCAAATAATTAGAGAATAGGCTATTAATTTCATTTTAGTATTATAATTTAATTTCTAAAATCAAATAAAATTTTTAAAACAAGTTATGTCTTTATAAAAAAATTTTGTTTTTATTATTGTTAAAATGTGAATAGAAATTGGTTTTGTTAACAACTTGTATATAATTAGCTTTTTTAAATTCTGAAATGAAATTAATATAAATTTTTAGTTTTTTGTTATATTTAAATTATTGTATTGAATAGATTTAATCTTTTTTGTCTGATTTTTTTAAGAATTATTTATATATATTTTTTATATTTCTTTTCTTTATCAATTTTAAAATAAGAGTTTAAAATTCTTTTAGTTTTCTTTAAAAAGTTTTTAACTAATATTTAACTATATAATACTTTTTTTTATAATTATTCCTTATATATTGTATCAGTTGATCAGGTTTTTCATTGTTATTATCTTCTATGTTTATTAATATATACTTTATTTTCATATTAAGTTGTTGTTCCATTATGATGCTAACAACAAAATTGGACTGAGATATTAAATCTAATAGAATTAGATTGTTTAGTTTTTCAATTTGAATTAACAATAGAAAAACAACATCTGTAATTTTGGATTCTAGATTAGGTATGTTGTTGTTATTATTATATATAATGATATTATAGTTGAAAATTTTAAAGATATGCTGAAATCTTCTTTTTTTCTAATTTTTTTTATTAGTATCTTTTTTATTACTTGTTTGTATAAAAATAACAAGGTTGTTGTTAATTTTGTATTTCTTCTTGTTGTTCTGTTTGTTTATAAATTCTTAAATGTATAATATTCATGTATGCTGTCTAGGATATCTACTTTTAAACTTATTGTTATTGTCCAGAGCATAGTGAAGGACTTACATTTTTGTCCGGAGCATAGCGAAGGACTTACATTTTCGGGAATACGTATATCACGTGATCGTCACATATACCAGAGGCCATTAGCAAAATTTGGTGTCTGTTACACAGATCATTGTCCATCTGTCTGAACACGTGATTAATTAATATAAAATTAAAACGTTTGATTGGCTGTTACAAATCAATTTTTGCTCCGGACTTACAACAGTTTCTGTTTTCCTAGTCTATTCTATTACTAGTTACAGTTGCTAACTTAATCAGCAACAAAGGTGAGAAAGAGACAGGAGTACAGAAAACTGTCTTGTAACTTTGTTTAATTTTGTTAAAGTTTATGTAATGTTGTTTGTTGATGTTATATATTTAGTTAATTAGTTAAAATCTGTTTTATTTCAGCTTTTTTAACAAAAAATTTTTGTTTTCCTAATTTTGTTATAAAATTGTGATTTTCGGAATTTTTTTCAATACTTAAAATTGAAATTGATAGCTTTGATTTACATAGTTAAATAATGACGCCTGAATTATATCAATTACGAATAAGTACCTATATTACATAATGATTTTATCTTATTCAGTTCTTAGTGTTTTAAATATGAATTACAAAGCGATCCTAAAAATTTAATTCTAGTCGAATATTCTACGATATAAGCGAAACGTTATTACTCCTGGCTTTAGTTTGTGCCCTCGGTTTGGGTCACATGGCATGTGCCATGATGATATTGGTTTATTCTAGCCAATTTGGGTTAATATAAAATTTTTTTTTAAGAAGGGTTAGTTTTGTTTCAATTATTTAGTGGGCAAATTGGCCCGCTAAACCGGACGGTTTAAGGGATAAAGTCACTCAAAAAAAGGGCCTGTGAGTGGGACGTACTTAATTTTAAATATAATTTAAGGAAATTACTATTTACACCCTCATTTTTGCTATTCATACTTCCCACTCCTATAAAAAAAACATTATTACATGGTATGCGAGACAATATATAATCTGCGCATCAATATATACATATATAACTCAAAACATGAAATTAATTATAATAAAATTAGTTTTTACATAGAAGAGGGTTGAACATCCTCCTAAAACTAAATTTTATTTTTTAGCAACTAGTATTGCCCTCTTAGTGATTAAAAAAAAAGGGACCTGTTTAGGGACTTCCACCCATTCGGTATACTAAAGAATCAGGTATTTATTAAATAAAATTTTAAAGTAAAAATTCAAAAAAAATACTAAAGTTATACTAATATTATGATTAGATATTTAACTATTACAGGGTATTCAACAGCATCAGGAAAGTATCGCTTGAATAGTTTTTCTTTGTTGGTTAGATACTCTTCTCGATGGTCACTAACTTCTTCTGCTGATCCCTTACTTGGGTGGTTAGTTACTGACTTTTACATATCAATAACCAACGGCTCATCCGATCTTCGAAATCCCCAGCCGATGCAGTTTACCGTTCCCGTAATACTAATAAATTTCTATATCAGGCATACAACGCATCAAAATTTCAATATTATCTGGTTAGTCTAAATGTAGGGCTGTTACAATGCAGTGGATGAGGATGAGTCAGTTTAGTGTGCCCTACAGAATGATGGCTTTTTTTACTTTTTATCGCTCGATTTGGTTTATATAAATCAACGACCAGCATTAACTTTATCTCATAAAAGTGCGGTCCTTTTCAACCTCACGTGAAATATAAAATAAAAGCACCGAGTATTTACAAACATTTTATTAAAATAAAAATAAAAAGATTAACGCCAAATACAAATAAATTACAAGCCTTATATCTCTCTTTCTTTGACCAATTGTTTTTGAAAAACCTGAAAGACTTCGTAGTCTTCTATATCAAATTCTTGAGAATCAGTTATATTTTTTTCGTAATACGAATCTCTACTTGAACATTTTTTTGATAAGTTACTGTAATTTGGCATACACAAATCTCTATTACCGAAGCATGGACCACGAACATCAGCACTAAATATGGCCATTCTAGAGTGACTTTGTTTAATTCTACTTAGTTTTGAATTTTTTAGATTTTCGCTTTCAACACCCAAAGAAAAAATAAAGCTATCCAATGACTTAGTCCAATTACCAAGAAATCCGCCTTTCCAATTCTCTGGATTGTAACCACCAATTATTTCCCCCGTATTAGCAACTTTCATAACTACGACAGTTGCACCTTTATCATTGCAAAGTTCGTGAAATTTTCGTGCGCTAAATCCGTCTCGACTACCGCGTAGCAAAAGTTTAAACGAATTAGATGGTGATTTTCGGTATAGTCGAGATTGTTCAGGATCTTCATTACGATCAATCCATCGTGAAATAACCGTTGCATGTTTTAATTTGATAATGTTGGAATTGATTGAATCATCCGAAATTATGGTTTGGTCACCCGGCGATTCAGTATTACGGGCAAGTTGCGGTATGATTCGATTAAAAAAGCTTAATCGAGTTGGTATTTGGTTAGGGTTTATATGACTAAATTTGACGAATGGTATACAATTTTTCAGTGTGGATTGTAACACCTGAAAATCAGCATTGGACCATTTAGAAACATCGGATTTAAGTTTTGGAGTTTTTGCAATAGCCCATTGAATTAAATAATCCCATAACTCTAATTCATCCATCTGAAGGTCATCACGTTTAAGGATTGTTATTAGAACAGATTCATCGATAGCAGTAAAAGCTGTAGTTCCAAATACTGATGCTGGGTTTTCACAAATAATTTCTAGGCATATGTCTTGAAGTTCTTTACAAAGGTGAAAGGCAGTATGGTATAAAATTTGAAGTGAATGTTGACGAATCCATTTGTCATGATATGTTAGGAGATATTCTTTCAAATAAGTTACGAGTTCAGTAAGAATCAATTCGTCCGCGGCAGCTAAGAGATCTATTATACGAGTTGGATACTGGTTTTCGAGACAAATAGTGCCAGAATACAAATATCTATATGAAAAAAGTATGGAGAAAGAGACAAAATTTCAATTAAGATATCGCGTAGTAAAACTTATGAACAGCATACAAACAAAAGAACAAATAAAGACGTGTAGTAAGTAAACAATTTATTTTTATTTACTTTAAAATCATTTGAAAAACTTCAGGGGAGATATTGGATTTTTCGAACACGATAAAGTTTCCATCAGTCTTAACCCAATCACTGGACAGAGCTGAATGAAAGTATGTTGACCTGGCACGTAATACGCAGGAATGAGCTTTAAAGTGTAAAATATTTGGCGACTCTCCAACTTTAATTATGACATTATAGTCTTCAACATTAGAGAGTAATTTAACAAAATCGTTTGATAATGATTTCAAAAATTCTGCAGACATTTTTTTTTTTTTGAAAAAATTTAGATTGAAAAAATGGCATTAAAAATTACAACTTATATATTGCTTATCAATAAAAAATAATACTATAAAAAGAAAGAACCCTTCGATTGTGTAACTTTGACATCTAAATAGATCCGAAAATATATTATTCTTAAAATATCTAAACATTTGAAAATCATTCAATAATGTATGAGTAGTCAACGAAAGGAATTTTGAGACACACTTGTCATGAGGTTTCAACAATTACGAAATTTAGGAGTAGATTAACTTTTGTTCTTAGAATAACAAGAATTAAACACAATAAAATAGTTCTAAAAGTTGATTATATGCTGCACGTAATCAGATTTGGTTAGATTTATGAACATGGGATCTATTAGTTTCGAACTAGTCAATTACGGAATAAAAAGCATAATATAAAGGGTGCATATTAAAGACGACATTACTAAGTAATCACCCCGCAATTCATCATAATGTTTAAGCAGATTCTACGAAATATTTGCCAAAAAAAACTTTACTATGCACACGAAATCGAGTGGCTTAGTATATGCATGCGATGTAAATTTTTATAAACAGGTTGTTGAAGATGATGACAAATCTTCCTGATATTTTTGGTACAAGGGCTTTTTTTAATAATGTTATATATGTCTAGACGACCTTTGTAGTTGGTCACAAAATGAAAAGAATGCTTTATTTCAGTATTTGTGGGGTTTAAAGAATAACACAATTCGGAGAATTTTTCCTGATAAACGTAATCGAAAATTCTCACATTTTGTTTATGTCGACATTATTCCTATTATTATAGAATTTCTTTCTGGAAAAGAATTCCTTAAGGAAGATTCTCAAGACTCCAATGGAAGGCGAAATGACTTAATGACACAGTACGTACGTAAGTGTATTTTATCCATAAATTCTTTACATATTTGGAGATGTTCCCCAACAAAATAAAAATTTGATAAACAAATTTAGAAACAGACTCCTGAAACCTATTATATTTATTTTGAATTTATCGTTACCTGATGCAGACAATATGTATCTTTTCTAAATGTACTGTTCTGTTCAAAACTTAGGTAAATGATCAATATAAACATTTTTTAATAATTAGTGTTATACTAACTTGTACTGTTTAGCTCTGTTTATAGTACTCGGGTCTTAATCAAAATCTTTGTTTTTTAAATTAATTAGTGGGGTATATTGTGAGCAGTGTAAAAAGATTATTTTTAAGGCGCATGCCCAGGTCTTAATCGTGAGAAGTATAGCAATGCTAAACGGTATGTAATTTTAAAATAATGATAATATATATTGATCACATATTTCTAAGTTTAGCAATATTTAGCCTTAGTAATTTTGATTTCATGTAACATGAAAAAACTGTTTTAGTTTTTAATTATTAACACTATTTTACGATAAAATACATATGTATACTGTCGATGGTATGCAACTAAATATATAAAATTATCGTTATACTCTGGGGTAGTGCTCCGAAAGGTTCATTCGGGTCGCGTTTAGGATCGAACCCGAATCCAATCCTGTTGGAATCAGGTTATACTTTGATATCTATAACGATAAATTTGTATTTTATGTACTATTATCGTTATTTCACAAAATTATATATACGTATAATAATTTTATAATTATATATCGATATATATATTTTTGCCCGGGTTGATATTGGGGTCTCGGATTCGGTTTTTAAATCGGGTACCCGAATTAATTTAGCCCTTTAGGAGCACTATTCTGGGGTAACTTATTGTCGCATTTCTGGTTTAATTTATCAATAAATTATACAGTAATAGCTGATCGATACAGTATTTCGCTTTTCCATGATAAAAAATATTTTCCAATTTTCATTTAATGGAAAGAACATTTTAGGTTATAAGCTTTTTTTTTAGTATTATAAGCCTCAATTATACTAAAAATGATTCTAATCTCGATCAAATAACATATGAGTAATATATCTTATTTGACAAAACAATCCGATAAATTAAAACATCTAGTCTGGATTAGTTAATATCATGTTTAACAAACCAATTCTTGAATTGTCTTGATATACCCTGATATTCAGTGAATGTATAAGGATGCACGACCATTTCTGTGAATTGAATATCCGAATATGTTAATATTCACCGATTAAATGAATATTCGATAATGCGAAAAAATAACATAAAATAAGTAAACAATGTGTGAAAAAAAAGTATTCATATCATTTTTAATATTTATTCTCTTTTTTAAAAACATTTTCTCAACAACTATTTTCTTAATAACGGTTTTGTCAAAAATCATTTTTTTAATACAAACGCTAATATATATTTTATTAATCAAAGTATTTAAAATAAGAATCAATCTATGCGTATTTAATTTTGCAGATCATGTCAAACTATCCAATCAAAATTTTATGAGTATAGAATTAATTATATTAAAAATAATAGATTACAATTATTTAAACATCTTTAAAATTTTATAAAAGGATGTGACAACTTAGTGAAGTAGATAAGTTATCAACTCTTCAAGTGGTCGGTTGGGTGTTCAAAATCTCATCATTGGTGAAAAATTTGGATAATTACCTATGTAATACTTATATTATAATAATTGTTTCTAATAATTAAATTAAGATATTTGCAATAACAATCACATTAGCATAACTGGCAGGTTATAAAGTATTTGTGTAATTAATTATACAAAAGAATGCAAATCAGTATCAGATGATACAAACTTTAAATAAGTTCTTATGACAATTTAAATTTGTTAAAATTAGGAAACAAGAAGTTTATTTGAGAAGATCCAATTAAAAAAATAGTATAAATCTTTGATTACTCTATTGTAAAGACTAGATTAAAAAAACAGATATCAATATTAAACTATTCATACAAACAAAAATTTTTAGAATATGAGTTTTAGAGATATTACTAACCAGATTGTTAAAATAAATTAAAGAAAAAAGATATCAGATTGATTTGATATATTAATAGATTGATTATAATCTTATATAGATTATCTAAATTAAAAATTTAGAAAATAGCTAGAGGTATACTAAAGTATTAAGAATATACTATAAAATAAATATTAGGATTTAAGTAAAAATATAAAGGTTAAATAATATAATTCTAATTAGAAATTTTAGTTTTGTTATAGTAGCATTAGATCAGTTATAAAAATAAATACAAAAGACTTCAGAAAGTTCATTTTAAAAATAAAATAATCTTAAGATTAAGATAATAATCTGAATATAACTTAGTAATATTAATATAAGTATAGTGTAATATGGTTGCTTAACCTAACTAGATTCTAAATATTTGTTTAATAAATATGTCGTCGCCAGTCAAATCA